ACTTGCGGACCACTTCTGTGATTGAAAGCATCTGGTACCAGTGATGCCCATCATCCCGCATCTGTTGTACTGTAACTGCTGGCGCCGGATGTCCTTGTTCATGAAATTGCCATGTCAACTGTGCACGACGGTTCACTTCCTCGTGCCCTGGATGATTCATCACTGTAGCGCCCGCACATATCTCAGGAATTTGTGCAGCGATCTGTCGCGTTCGTTTCGTCATCAACGGCTGTGCCCAATCTTCCTGATAACGTGTACTAGCGTCTTCACATACAGGTACCTCCAAGCCTAAGTCACACCAAAACGATGGATTGACTTTGTACCCAGATGGAGGGCCAATACTTACCACGATGGTATGCTCCCGCGGGGTTTTACCACAAGCCTGTAAGCCGTGCTTCGAGAATGTGTGAGCCGTACGTGGGAAAAGTAATGGATCTGCTTGCATCATCGACAGAAGTGAAGAAGAAACGGAAACCATGGTGCACGTGTGTTCAACGGTAAACATATTGTCGCCGACGCCTTGTCCTGCAACACCATACGCAACACCTTATGTATAAGACGCCATGGTGGGCTCACCCATGCGTTGTATTTGCTCCAGTCAAACTTAAACGCCCCGCCATTCTTGTCGTACGACCAGTATTGGCGAAGCTGAGCGTCATGACTCGAGGCAAAGGCATCGACACCGTTTGGTCCAAAGTATTTCTGGATCTGGTCCAAGAAATACGGAAACAACTTCCAACATGACGTATAGAACACCGCGGGGTAGTTGATTACCCTCGTGCCCTCATGAACACGCCTCCACATGTCTGGTAACTTGTTCAGTTCTCCAGGTGGATGTGTAATAGTACAATTGAACTGTGCAATATATGATGTCATCGTTGCAACATACTATTCAGCTTCAGCTGAGTGTTCATGTATATGAGAGCCTTATGGTCTGCGTGTACAGTAAACCGCTGTCTAATGGGATGATCATGAAAGTGAACCAGAGTATAGGAAAGTGCTAATAATTATTTTATCCGAGTTGCATATGTCTGCTATGCCTTGTTGAGAGTCTTTGAGAAGAACATCAGGTAATGTTTGCGTCCGTCAATCAATTGAAACAATGCGCCACCAATCCCATAGTCGCTTGCATCCGTTTCTAACTCAAGTGGTACACCATCAACAGGAAAGTTCAACCTGACTGCCGACACGATAGCCTCCTTCATCTGATCCCACGCCAATTGATGTTCTGGCTTCCAACGATCTCCAATGGGCTCCTTTGACTTAAGTTTAGAAAATGTTCGGAGTGGAGCTACCTTGTGTGCAAAGTTAGGTAGATGATTATGTAGGAAGTTTGGTATTCCTAATGCAGAGGCAATATCCCTTTGACATCGTGGGACTGGCCAGTCAATTAAACGTTGCTGTTTCTCATGATCCACGTCAATGCCTTTAGTTCGTATCTTCTTTCTCAGGACTATCACCTCTCGCACCGCAAAGTGACATTTCTTCTGATCAAGTTTGAAGTTATTCTCCGTCAGGCGTCGAATGACCTCTTGAACCGTAGCAATGTGCTACTCGTAGTCGTCCGACGCAATTATTAGGTCATCAACATAGCATTGCACGTCCAGTCCCGCAACGGTTTGGCAAAACTGCGCCCGAGAAACACGTTACTTCGTGGCTACAAAAGATCGAGCATATGCAGAACGTTGTTTACCCTTGTTTACTCGAGCACAAAAATTGTGTCCTACATAAAACGTATGACCGATGGAATAATACTAAGAACATTGTTCAGTTCAAAGTTGGCGATTTTGTTAATATTATAAATCGCAATGCCAACGTTACCAAATTCTCTTCTAAGACAATTGGACATTTTGTTATTTCCTACCACGAAGAGAAGAGTGATACTTACAAAGTAAATAACATAGATGGTACTAGCGCAACTAATCTAGGCACTCACCGTATCCCTACCTCTGAACTCTCATTCGCTCGCTCATTGGATTCTGATGTCCCAGTTATGGAGTCAAAATTCATACATATAATTGACAAAACATCCAAAGACGGATACACTTATTACAAGACCCGTTTTATGGATGGGACAGTAGCTTGGCTAACCTCCGATGCGTTTCGTAAATCTCGCGACTTTGTAGAAATACGGCCTCCGGTCAGTCTAAAATATCAAGATCAATTGAGATAATACATTGGTTTTTATTTGTATTTTAAATAATTTACTACAAGCTCTTTTTCCAATATTTCCAAAGTGTTCTAAATTCACTTTGATGGCTCCAATAGCCTGAGTATTTGGTATGACTCATCTACTTGGACCTATTTGAGACATTAGTAGATGTAGGATATTATAAACTAAATTTTATAATCTCCGAACTACTACTTGTAGACTTTGGTCCTCCCGCCAATCTCCAAAATCCAATAAGTCTTTTTCTTTTTTTAACTTTTCTTCAGATG